CAAAATAATCAGTCTTCATCGACTGCAGGAACTTCATGTCTTATGAATTTTTTACAAGCAGTTCCACATTTGTTGGCCACAGAGGAAATGTCTTTCCTAGCATACATTCTGTCTCCTGTACCTTCTTTATAGGACCGGGCATGGATCTACATTTCAAAGGCATTGCTCGGATCTTGGCATTGTCATCAAGAAGTTTAATGATCTTTTTGCATGCTTTACGTTCGCTAATTATTGGAATATTAGCCTTATCATAAAACAGCTTCAGCTTTGCCAAGACAAGTTTTGCTGACTCCCATCTAGTTTGATTTGAACTAGCTCCGTCATCAAGGTGGTACATTAGACAGCGCAACACTTGACGAGAAGTTGGAAGCCGACACCCAGTTAATTTTGCGTCATCTTCATTTATCTTGCTCTCAAGCCCAAATATGATGGCTGATTTTCGCATAGCTATATTCTTGATGTCTTGATTGCCAGATGAACTAGGGGTAGGAGGTGTTTGAAGTACTGCTGTTGGGTCAATTTCCGCTGCTTCACTCATACTGGTACAGACTAAAGTGCTGCTGGTGGTATTCATAATATCCAATTATCCGTTAAACTTCTTACTCTTAGTAATTTAAATTGTTAAATGTTAATCTAAAACAGAAAACTATAATTTAATTTGATTATCTGACAATTATAATACCTATAAATAAATAATCACTGATGAAATCAAACATAAACAACATTTATGTAATATATGTACATAACTACTAAGTATTAACTAGTAACTGCATAATACAAAATCTCTTTTAATTTTTCAGTTTTACACAATATAAAATATATAATTTATTTCAGAAATATTTACTATTTAGACTAGCACATGAAATGTGAAACAAAGATGGCAACAAAGAACTAGTACAAGATCTGTTGAAATATTATGTACGGTGGCCAAGAAGTGATAATTATAAATTAAATATATTGAAAAACATAATTATTTATATTTATTTTATTCATTTTAATTATATTTATTAAAACAAAATGATTAGATTAAAATTTACCTATAGTCCTATATATATTATATATTTGTAATTATTATTATCGAAAAAAACCATATTTATTTAAAATACTAAAGAATTTTGCATTCGTTCTGGTTCTTTCGCGTATGTCGAATTTTTCGTACAATGACAAAACTTCAGATTTGTGGTGGACCCCCTAAATCAATTCAGATTTGTAAAAAAATTGGCAGAAGTTCATTAAGGTCCAATGTAACGTTTTGGGACTGGGGACAAGACAATTCTTTGACATGAGGGCATTGGATGCACCCTAATATATATATATATATATATATATATATATATATATATATATATATATATATATATATATATATATATATATATATATATATATATATATATATATATATATATATATATATATATATATATATATATATATATATATGTTATAGTAGATATATATATATATCTAGCTATAGTAAATACATATATATATATATATATATATATATATATATATATATATATATATATATATATATATATATATATATATATATATATATATATATATATATATATATATATGTTATAGTAGATATATATATATCTAGCTATAGTAAATACATATATATATATATATATATATATATATATATATATATATATATATATATATATATATATATATATATATATATATGTTATAGTAGATATATATATATATATATCTAGCTATAGTAAATACATATATATATATATATATATATATATATATATATATATGTATATCTACTATAGCGTATTTAGATAACAAATTGTTACTAATTTTTTCTAGATTAAAAAAATACAGTTTTCAAAGGCATTAATAGCATACAGTTTTCAAAAAAAGAAAACAACGAAGGTAGCTTAAAGATTGCTGCTTATGCCAAAAATATAATTATATACATACATACATATATATATATATATATATATATATATATATATATATATATATATATATATATATATATATATATATATATATATATATATATATATATATATATATATATATAAATGAATAAAAGGTTAGATGAGAAAAAACAACTTTTTTACGGTACTTAAAGTTTCATGCCGTTTTCGGCACTCATCAGCCATATGGCTGATGAGTGCCGAAAACGGCATGAAACTTTAAGTACCGTAAAAAAGTTGTTTTTTCTCATCTAACCTTTTATTTATTTATTTATTGATCTATTTTGTGATTATTTCACTCTATATTGATCACTCTCAAATCGAAAAAGAGTTGATTATTATCAAATAATCAAAACAACAATATATATATATATATATATATATATATATATATATATATATATATATATATATTTATATATATATATATAAATATATATATATATATATATATATATTTATATATATATATATATATATATATATATATATATATATATATATATATATATATATATATATATATATATATATATATATATATATATATATATATATAATTTTTTTTCTTTTCTATTGACCATCCAGACAATTTTGCTCTGAAATGGTATATTTCTTTGATATAGATACAGATGATTATCATTTTTCAAGTGCTTTAAGTATTATGTATTTTTCTGTTTTAGTTCTACTTGCTAGCTTTCTTTTAGCAACTGTTAACATTTTTAATAAATAAAATTTAATCGAAGCTTAACCAAATCAAAAATATAAGTGAAAATGTTTAGCTTGTTGAATTACATTTGACTCAAAGGTAATTTTCAAATGCTCTATATTTTGAATTTTATTTTTTAATATAATAGTCACTAATAAATAGCATTTAAACAAAGCTTAACCAAATTGAAGTCATCAGTAAAAATGTTTTTTAATTATATTTGTCATTAAGGTATTTTATTTTCAAACGTTCAGGGGCCGTATTCTCATCTCTCCGTTAAGCTTAACGGAGCGATAGCAAAAAATTTTTTTTTAACTACATTAATAAAAAAGTTCTTTAAAAATATAAATTTTTAAAAATAAATTTTTTATTTTAGTATTAGTTTTATTTTAAAAAATTTAAATAAGATTTTCGTCATTTCTTTACTTAGATATATTGTAATGAAATTTCAGACAAAAGCTCCGTTAAGCTTAACAACGAGATGAGAATACGGCTGCAGAGTTTGAAATTTTTATTGAAATATTGGAATAACATAAATATTTTTAAAAAATGCCTAAATAGATAATTTAGATAATACAAAAGTATTTTGACAAAATTACTTTGATATAATTTTAAAAGTTAACAAAATATATGCTCAAATTAGTTGAGGTAGAATTTCATGTTTATTTACATAAGCATACTGTTTTGTTAATCACACATTAATCACGCAATTACCAAGTATTAATTAACATACACATTGTTTATGTTAATTGTTCATAAATTATGCAAATAGTAAGTCTGATGTTTATGTGAAGGTTATATAATATAAACAACATAAACATTTCATTATTCCTGTTTATTATATTTCAAGCGATTTAGTTATTATTTTGTTGGAATTTTGGTCTTACACTAATATTTTATTAATTTTTTATTTAATAGTTTAATATTTTTTATATGATGAAAGTAAAAAGTTTTTGTAGAGAAAAAAACCTGCAATATTCACATTGAATCTAGAATATTCAAATCGAATTTGAAACATTTAAATTAAATCTTCAATATTTACATTGCAATATTTACGCTGCAATATTCACGCTGCAATATTTACACAAGAAAAATAGGTGTTGACTAGAAAAAAAATATTTTGAGTTCGGAATATTATAAAAAAGTAAGAAGAAAAATGTAGAATGAAAACAGAAGTCTGGTCAATTTAAAACAATCAGAATGAGATTAAATTACATCTACAATAGAAGACAAAATGACAATCACTAGTAAAAGAAATAATTAACTAGTCTGCAATTAACTCTTATTTCGAATTTTTCGCAAGAAGCTCCAGTATCAAAAGTAACAACAGTGAAGGAGCAATTGATGGAAGCAGGGGTTACTGGCAGAATAGCTGCGAGGAAACCATTATTCTGGCTATAACTAAAAAAAAAAGACTAGACTGGGCAAAACTACACAAAAAATGGATGATCGATGACTGGAAATTTGGGCTAATGAGGCAGAATCTTAAATCTAAATTTCAAATCTTTAACGATCATTAAAGAAAGTCAGTAAACAGATAATAAAATCTTGTGTATTGTTGACTGTAATACATGGTGGAGTTAGTGTTGTGGTGTTGGGTTATTTAAGTGGAACTGTCAGAAGTGACATTGTAAAAATAGAATAGTAAGTTATTATGCAATATTTATTAATATAATATTTTTTATATTATCAACTGAATTACTTATGGAGTGTTATATACATAGACTGATTTAGTTACAGACACAATAAAGCTTACATATAACAGCTGAAAGTTTTGGTTTGGGCAGTCTATTAACTTGAAGAAAATTTTTTGAACTTTTTCTGGCCTTTTTTTTTTTTACTTTTTGGGCATAAAGTATGATTACCCTGAACGCCTATGAACATAAAATATGATTACTTTAGGATATTATGAATGGGAAAAGTTAAAGTATACTAAGCAAGCTAATATATATATTTTCCTGAAAAAATATATATTTTAGATAATTTTTAAGACAAAAGTTATTTGTTTTGTAAAGCTATTTTCAGTTTTACTTACAAATTGATTGTTTAATTTACTTTATTTACATAAAAATAATGACTTTGTTAGCACACTATTTTTTTTTACAGCCATTTTATTCAATGTTTGATCTATTGTCTAAAATTCAGTAGGTACGACAAGCGATCAAAAGATAAATAATGCAAACAATTTAAAAAGTAAAAGAAAAAAAATAAATAAAAAATTTTTTTTTAAATGAAACGCCATCCATAAAGAAAAAATGTGTTTAATCTTGCAGATTTCTTTAACATAAAATAACATAATATAATAAAACAAATAATGTTTATATATAAAAAAATACCTATGTATTAAAAGAACACTACTGTGTACAGCTAATGTTAAGTTGGAATGATGCCGTATTTCTATTCTTTTTAGTTTATCAGTAAACAACTCTTTCCCATTTTTAATCCACATCATATAGCTCTTCATGATCCATGTTGAAAAACATGTAAACTGCATTTCATCATTTTCAAAGCCAATTTGATTTTTGGAAGGAATCAACTGAAAGTTTGGAACAAAGAATGACTGTTGATGCTCTCCTATCAAAAAAAAATATAAAAAATTTAAAAAATATATAAAATAATTATTATTTTAAAAGTATTAATACTAATTATTATAATACTAATCTTTAAAAATGCTATAAAAAAATTCGTAATAAAATTTAAAAGAAATTAAGATTTGTAAATAATTAAAAAAAAAAAAAAATTAGTAAAGAAAAACCAAAGTAAGAAGCAACACCAGTATTTATGATGTAACATAGTAATTAAAAAAGTTAAAATTACACCATAAGCACTTGATAACATCAATACAATATTTAGAGATAAGATCATTTTAATTAATATTTTGTATACATATATTTGAATTTTTAGCAAAAGTAATATTTAAAATCAACAAAACTGACAAAATATATTTTGTTAAATTTATTTTAAATTATTTTTTAACTTTATTTTAAAATTGTATATAAATTGATACATAAAATAGTTTTATATTTATTTATTTGTGCAACACTGATGACACAGTATGCAAGAGTATGACATTAATATATTTTTATTATATTTATTTAATTGAAATTGAAAAGGTAAGTATCAATAATTTATGTATGCCGTTCAAAGGTTACCTTTTTTAAATATTGCTACTAACCTCTTACCTTACTTAACTAATTTAATACAGAAACCTTGACAAACTAGGGCACTGTGCCAAAGAATGATTTAAGTGCAGTAATACATATGAAAGTAGTGAAGTTTGAACTTTGTTTAAAAATGAAATATTTTGTAGTAAAAGAAATTACCACAGTTCCATGATGAATTTAGAAGATCCTTAAGTGATTTTCCACGAAGTTGCTCAGGGTAATAACAACTTGTTTTTTCTGATAGCTGTCCATCTTTTGACAGCCAGTTACCTATCCACTTTATGTTGCAATCACACAAAAGCTGGTTATCATCTAATGATCTAAACAAATTAAAACAAAATTGCTTTTTTTTATTTTATTTTATACAGTGTATAAATCAGAAATGTTGATTTGGAAAAAATCTTACAATTTTTTAATTTTAGACAGTGTTAAAAAATCATTGTATGCAATCAGCTCAGCTCTTTTTCCTCCATAGTTTCTTTGTCCACTTAAATCTCTAAAGAAAGTTTTCAATTTAAAATAAAATAAAAACAATACAAATTTTTCTTCTGTAGTTTCTTTGCCCACATAAATCTCTAAAGAAAGTTTTTAATTTAAAATAAGACAAAAACGATAAAAATTTTAATATCATTTACAATGATTAAAAAAAAAAAAAATACAGTGCGATAATACTTACAAATCATTAGAAGAAACTTTTTCAAAAGCACGCTGAGATATTGACAAAATGTAATTATTTCGTAAATCTCTAAAAATTCAAAAGTAAAAATACAAATATTCATTTAAGTATATAACCATTAAATTTGTTTTATAAATCAATTATTCATTTTAATATTTTAAATTTAACATTATTTGATGATAAATAAGTATTTTATATATGCATGTGTGTATATCTGTGATTCATTTGATCCATCATGCCTCATTATGTTGAAAATGACATAATATGTAAAATAGTGAAATGACATAGTACTTTACATTATTTCAAATGTGGCACTTAAAGTGAAAAAATTACACCAAAATGAGTTCACTAAAATCACAATTTATCTAAAGTTATGAGCAAAAATATATATAGCATTTTACAATTGTGATTTTGAGAAAAATCTAGCTAAAGTTTAAAATTTAATTATAAAGTTTAAAAAAAAATAATACATTTAATCAGCTTCTGTCATTTTAGGCTATTTGATATGTTGCAACTAAATGACAAGTCGCACACACATATACATACTACCTGCCCCCATGCTCTGCTGCCTTATAGGGTTTGCTTATTTAGGCAAAGGGTAGAAGAAATTCCAATTTAATTTATCCTTGCCTAGGTTGAGTAAAGACTAGAGATGATGTCTCCATTAAAATACTTATCAGATATAAAATACTTAGGCAGATGTTAACTACACCCACCTAATGTCTTGTAGAAGGACTCCCAAGAAAAGACAGGGGTAAGCAAAATAATTCTGGTGGCCAGCCTAACAACTTTTCTTTATTTATTAGCCTGGCATAGATGTAAACCTGTGTTGCATTGTTTACTGCTAGGATGATGAATACTGAATCTCTTGATGAGGGTACGGCTCTAAAACTTAGTTTAATGGTTCTGTTTCCCGAACTCCATGGTAGCTCTCAGAGAGGCTGATTCCATCAACAGATGTTAAATATATGAGTATTAACAGTGCCATGTTGTGAATAGATGATGTTTTGTTAATGCTTTTAGTGTGCATTGTCAAAGCCACATAAGGAGTCTTAAGTTACAACTTTAGAATAATTAGCAGGACTGAAACAACTGCATGGCTCATTGCTTGGGATGCCATGCACTATCTATGGATGAGTCAAGTTCTCTTTAACTTAGACCATGTTAAAAGTAACTTAAAATATTAAACATAAAAAAGCATTACCACCACCTAACTGTTTGAATATATCTTTCACAAATATTTGTGGTTTTTGAAGTAACTTTCCATCAGTTGATTCTTACCTCTTGCAAAATTCATCAGACTTGCTTGCTCTTTGTGAGACTAATTTAAATTTGGGTGTTCCTACTTCTAGCTTATGTTCAAGTTCTCTTTGTTCTCCTTTAAGTGTTTTCAACCATGCAATGATCTCTCTAAATCTTTCATCACATGCTTCTTCTTCAGACTCACCCTGTCATCTTACTACTACTCTAAAACTGACTGGGATTGTTTTCAGAATTTTCTTCATGACAGTCCTTGGGCTGATATCTTTTCTCTTTCAGTTGATAAATGCACCTCCTATGTAACTTCCTGGATTTAGATAGAAATGGAAGCTTTTATTCCATCTCGTCAGTTCAAGTCAAGCCTCATTCTACTCCGCAATTTTTACCTTCTTGTGCAGCTGTTATATTTAATAATTATTATTTTTTTAAATATTTTTTAATATAACTCTCTTGATAACAAATGCTTTTTTATTAATGCAAAAAATCAATGCAAAAAGGTGCTGTCTGATGCTAAGCTCCATTATTCCTAGCTTAAAAATTTTGTATCTTATCTCAGAAGTTCGGCTCCAAAACATATAAAAAGACTTTCAAAAATGTCATTAAAAAAGTTGAACATTCCATCTTTAATTGATCTAATCTTATTACCTCTCCCAAGGATCTCTTAGAACACTTTGCAAAAAGCTTTTCCTCTAATTTAACTCTTGAATCCAATGGCCATCTTGAATCCACTTTTTCTGCCATTCCAGTTAAACAAGTTAACCAATTGTTAGATATTCAAATTGATTCGGCTTCTGTTGCTAAAGTCATTTCTCAATTAACTCTTCTAAGGCCTGTGGTCCAGACAACATTCCTGCCATAGCCTTAAAAGTGTTCTTAAGAACTCTCTTCAATTCTCTCTAAACTATTTAATAAGTGCTTGACTAAATCTTGTTTTCCTTCCTGCTGGAAAATGTCATCTGTAGTTCCAATTTTTAAAAACTATGAAGAACATTCTGACCCTTCTAACTATTTTCTGATCAGTCTTCTTTCTGTTATTATCAAGGTCTTTGAGTCTTTGATCAACAAATTCCTAACATCCCATCCTAAGCCAAATAACTTACTGTCTGACAATCAATATGGCTTTCAATCTTCTCATTCAATGGCTGACTTGCTAAATGCTGTGACTGAAAGATTCTACCATGCACTAGATAAAGGCGGTAAAACAAGGGCTATTGCTCTTAACATATCTAAAGCTTTTGACAAAGTTTAGCATGCTGGTTTTCTCCATAATCTTGTTTCATATGGTGTATCTGTGGCAATTTTGAGATTAAAAAAAAATTCTTATCTACATTAATTATCTACATTAATTGTACTGACTATCTAACTTCTAAAGTGGCTCTATTTGCTGATGACTGTCTTGACAAAATGTCTTCTTTTTTTGATCACTAAGAACAGACAGCGGATATAGTAATGAATGGCAAACCTCTCACTGAGTCCTCTTCTTTATATCTTCTTGGACTATCATTCACTACTGACCTCTCGTGGAAACCATATATACAATTAATTTCTAAATTAGCATCTGCTAAGGTTAAAATTCTTTACTGTGCTTGCCATTATCTTACTCCTGATTCCATTCTCTACAAATCTTTTTTTGTCTCTGAATGGAATACTTTTGCCATATTTAGACATAACTTAACTTAATGATGCTCTTTTTCTTCTAGACAAGGTCCGAAAATACATTGTAAATGTAGTTGGATCTGCTTTATCTGCCAAGTTTGAGCTCTATATCTCATTGTTGTAAGATTGTATCTCTTTCTCTTTTCTACAAATACTATCATGGTTCAAAATAGCTATCATATATACTTTTATTTTTACTCTCGCTTGACATTCAGCAAAGTTGCATCCTTTTAATTTATCTGTCCCTTCTTGCTCTAAATCCTTTTATTTTCCTAGTTTGTTTCCTTGCACTTCAATCCTTTGGAACTCTCTCCTATCTTTATATTTTCTTGAGTCGTCTGTCAACCATTTCCTTGCTCTCTAACTCTATTCTTTGTTTTCTGGTAACACCCAACTTAAAAGTAGTAGACAGTTAACAGAAAACAAAGAAGAGAGTTTCTATTTTTTAATCTCATTCACAACGTTGTTGGCAGTAAATGAGATTTAAAAAAAAAAAAAAAATAAGTTTAGGTAAGTATTTGTAGCGCATTTTTAAATTTTAAAAATATTTTAAATACCATGATCAAATCGTTAAAACATATTATTTTTTGCGTGGTCATATAAATATAAATATATATATATATATATATATATATATATATATATATATATATATATATATTTATATTTATATGACTACGCAAAAAATAATATGTTTTAACGATTTGACCATGGTATTTAAAATATTTTCAAAATTTAAAAATGCGCTACAAATACTTACCTAAACTTATCTAAAAAAAAAATTGTAAAAAGAAAAAATAAATATATATATAATGCAACTAAAACAAAACTCATCAAACTAAAATGCTTAGTCTATTTAATTTACGCATTAAAAAACAATTTCAATCTTTGTTTTCAACATTTGTATATACTTTTTATTTATATAATATATTTCAAAAGTTAAACATTTTTCATAAAAAAATAATACATAATTACATATATTTAAAAAAAAACATTTTATCAATACTTTATTTTAAAATTAATAAGAAGTGTTTTTTTACTTCATTAAAAAGTGTTTCGATAATATAAAAGCATTTAAGATCAAACTTATTAAATTGTAACGGCTTTTTAAAACTTTTTTTTTAAACTTTTATTTATCTTTTGAAATGCATTAACTTTAATTACTCATATATTTAAATTCGTTAAAAAGACTTTCGCAGTCATAAAATGTCATCTTTTATAAAAACAAAACAATTTTCTATTTTTTAATAACGTTTATTTTAAAAATGAACACTTAAACAATTTATGTTATAAATTAAAAAAAATATATACAATTGTCAATTATATTTAAAAAAAAAAACATTTTCAGTAAATTGTTACTTTATTTAAAATTGTTTGGCTAATATAAAAACATTTGTTTAGAAGTTTTGATGTAATTCATTTCACTTTTTAAGACTATTTTTCATTTAGCGCATTTTTAAAACGTTTTTTGAATTAGCTGCGGTCAAACCGTCATAGCAAAATGTAATTTGCGTGGTCATATAAAGATGTGAAATCACACGCCTTCCTGTGAAAGCCTGATATATATATATATATATATATATATATATATATATATATATATATATATATATATATATATATATATATATATATATATATATATATATATATATATATATATATATATATATATTCATAAACAAGACAAATATTCTAATTTTTAAACCGTTTTTTCAATAAACAACATGTTTCCACTAACACTAGTCATCTTAATTTAAAATTTGGTAAAATACCTAAAATAAATAATTTGGTAAAATAAAGGTGTTTAAAAAAAAACAATACAAAAAATAATTATTCTTGTAAAAACTAATAATAATTTAATTACAAAAATACAATAAAATCAGATAAAAAGTTTATTATGTCATACAAAAGAAATAAGAAATAACAAAAGAATAGGTAAAAGAATAGGGACAAAAAGTTTCATATCTATAAATTATTATTAAACTAAATTATTATTAATTACTATTAAAAAATGATTTTAAAAATTAGTAAATTTGTCTTGTTTAATTTTGAATGGATATATATATATATATATATATATATATATATATATATATATATATATATATATATATATATATATATATATATATATATATATATGAATGGATATATAAATATATGAATGGATATATAAATATATGAATGGATATATAAATATATGAATGGATATATAAATATTTGAATGGATATATATATAACAGTCTTCTTTGTTTGACGAACGCTTTTTTAAGCACTCGCCAAAAAATAATAAACAAATATTTTTTTAAATCACGCACGCCGGAAAATAATTACTGTTCGGCCAGCACTTTTTCATGCACTGGCAGTAAATTTCAAACGGAGAAGACTGATATATATAAATATATATGTATATAAATGTATATAAATGTGTATATATATATATATATATATATATATATATATATATATATATATATATATGAATGGATATATAAATATATGAATGGATATATAAATATATGAATGGATATATATATATATATCAGTCTTCTTTGTTTGACGAACGCTTTTTTAAGCACTCGCCAAAAAATAATAAACAAATATTTTTTTAAATCACGCACGCCGGAAAATAATTACTGTTCGGCCAGCACTTTTTCATGCGCTGGCAGTAAATTTCAAACGGAGAAGACTGATATATATAAATATATATGTATATAAATGTATATAAATGTATATAAATGTGTATATATATATATATATATATATATATTTATATATATATATATATATATATATATATATATATATATATATATATATATATATATATATATATATATATATATATATATATATATATATATATATATATATATGTATGTATGTATGTATGTATGTATGTATGTATGTATGTATTTATATATATATATATATATGTATATATATATATATATATATATATATATATATATATATATATATATATATATATATATATATATATATATATATAATGTAAAAAAGTCTCTTTCGACAACAATTTTTCTACCTCGACAATTAAGCTACATGTTATTGTTGTCAAAATGCCAAAGCAATTAAATTAATGTGGAAGCACATTAAATCTTATTGTTTTTTAAAAAAACCGCAATAATAATGACTAGAAATTTTTTTAATTAATGGTGTTTTTGTTGTTGTTTAAAACATGAGCTGAGTGTTGCTACATTGACTATCTTATAACCTGCTGCTACAAGGGAGTGTTGCTACATTGACTATCTTATAACCTGCTGCTACAAGGGAGTGTTGCTACATTGACTATCTTATAACTTGCTGCTACAAGGGAGTGTTGCTACATTGACCATCTTTTAGCCTGACTCGCAATGGAGTGTTGCTACATTGACTATCTTAAGTCCAACTTGCAAGAGAGTGCTGCTACATCGTATATATACTTGCATATATACTAGTCACAAAGTTTTTCCCATAAACTGTTGTTTTAAAGAGCGCGTTAATAAGCCTGACCAGAAAATGTTAAAAAAATTCAAAAAAAAAATTTTTAATTTAATTGATAGACTGCCTGCCCAAACCAAACCATCAGTCGATGTAGCAGCACTCCCTTGCGAGTCAGGCTATTTGTCAGTTGATGTAGCAGCACTCCGTTGCAAGTCAGGCTATAAGATAGTTGATGCAGCAATACTCCCTTGTAGCAGCAGGCTATAAGATAGTCGATGTAGCCACACTTAGGCATGTTTTAAAAATGTCTTTTAATAAAACAAAAACAAAAACACCCCTAATTAAAAAAAACTTTCTAGTCATTATTATTGCAGTTTTTTTAAAAAACTGCAATAATAAATTTAATGTACTTCCGCATTAATTTAATTACTTTGACATTTCGACGACAATAAAATGTAGCTTAAAAGACAAGGTAAAAAAATTGTAGTAAAAAGAGACTTTTTATTTTACATACATACATACATACATACATACATACATACATACATACATACATACATACATACATACATACATACATACATACATACCTACATACATACATACATACATACATACATACATACATACATACATACATACATACATACATACATACATACATACATACATACATACATACATACATACATACATATATACATACATACATACATATATACATACATATAAAATATTCTTAAATATATATATGAAGTTCGAATTAGTATTTTACTAATAAACACTCATTCTGTAACTTTTTAAAATATTTAAAATTAGATAAATAGTAACCACAATAGTAATCACAATAGTGATTACTATTGTTACCAAATTACCAAGTTATCTAACTCAATAAACAATAATATTATAATTAAACTTAAAAGTTATAACTTCATAAGGTATCCAATTATCCTAAATTTAAACATTATAGTAAGGATGACAATAAAGCTAATACCAGCAATAAGGGTGGTCATGTGTCAATAAGAATATCAGGTACTTAGCTCTAGAATATTAAAATAGAAAATAATAGAATAATGAGATAAAATAACCATGAGATTTAATTAATCAAGGAAATATAAAAAATTTAATTATATATACTCAAATTCAAAAAGTTTTCAAAATTTTTTAAAAAATTTTTCAAAAATGGATGCATATTTTTTATTAATACTTTTAATTTAATTATAAATAATTTTAATTTTTATTAATACTTAAGTCGAAATTTTAAAACAAGAAAAATTTTCTTTTTGTTTGTTAATTTATCTCACCAAGACTGAGAGGCCACTACAATTAAGGAGGCTACTTTAATTGTGGTTACAACCCTCTCTCAGATCTATAACTCCAAAACATGAACCTTGACAAACAAGGCAGCTGCACAGAGAAACAAGTTGAGTGCGGTACTGCCAGTGGGGATCAAATTCAGAACTTCTAGTTTATGAAACGACCACTCTACCACTACACCACTACCACATACTGCATTTATCTTAATACTTCAGTCATCTAGATATCAAACTATATAAACTTCATATAGACTATGATTTAAAACAATTCCGACTCCACTTTTATTATTAATTGTTTTAACATCCACTAAAACAAAAGCACGCATCCACCTGATGAGCATTTTGTCTGATCTTTTCAAAAAATTTTCTTTTATTGGCAAAACTTTACAGCCATGTTTTTTTTTTACATGTTATACTTGATTTTTTATATCAGGACTTATTTGCATTAGTTGAACAAAAAAAAAGCTAATGTACATCTTGCAATTTAAGCAAATAACAAAATAGAATAAATATAAAGAAAAAAAAAGAAAGAAATTTTAGTTGTTCAGACTAAAAAGCTTACATATGTAAAAGTTTACTGTTTTCCAAACCTTGAAAAACGCTTTCTGATATCTGAGTGATACGATTCTTGGATAAATCTCTATAAAAGTTAAAATTTTCATTTTAAAATTATAATAAACATTCAAAAAATATTCAAAATTGAAATAAAACATTTTTTTTATTGAAATCTAATTTAAACATACAATATTTTGAGAGCTAAAAAGCCATGAAAGGTTCGAGCACCCAAAACTTCAATCCCGCAATTTCTTAAATTACTAAAAAAAAGCACATACTATACTTTAAAAACAATCATAGTATTTTTTATTTTAAATTAATGAAATACTAATTAATGGAATTTTTTGAAAATATATTGGTATAAAATCAGTAAATTTTACACATTATTTTATAATAACTTTTAAAAATTTGCTTAATTTTATTTATACTCAATAATAAGTTGAATTCTGATTCTTTAAACAAAGTAATAAATAAACCATTCAATTTTATATCTTATGTTCAACGTTAAATGTTAAATTTTCAAAAAAAGTTAATTTTTAGTAATATCTATTTTAATAATATATGATACCATTAAAAATGTAAACAGAGATATGCAAACCAAACAATGACAATGAAATAAAACAGATAGTAAAATGAAAAACTTACAGCTTTTTAATTTTATTTGGATGAGGGAATGAGGATTCATTAAGAAATTGTAAATAACTTCCTTCTAAATCTCTAAAAACATTGAAAGAAAAATTAAAATAATGAAAAATTAAACTAAATGAAAAATTAATAACAATAAAAAAAGAAAAAAACTTTTTTTTGCTTTGATAAGAGTAAAGGAATCTAGTAAACCTATGATGGTAACCATCCTAAACGTATCACAATAAAAAAACTCAGTCCTAGTATGCAAAACAACCTACAAGTAAAACAGACTTTGCAGCACAATAAACAATAATAGTTAAGTTTGATCATAATTCAGGTAAAAAAAAATTGATAAGTAGTTTATTTAATAGATTATATTTTTAATAAAACATTTTTATTTAAGATAAAACTTGTTTAATTAAACAGCAAAGCTTGTATTGAAGATCATAGAATGTCTTCAATTAGAAAAAAGTATAAATTAGAACATAAGTTTCTCTTTTGCAAAAACAATAAATGAAATGTTTTGAAGTTATAACTGCTAAACTAGATTTTCTTTTTTCTTTTTCTTCATTTATATAATTTCACTCTAAATAAGACTGCATGAAACCACTGATTAAGTTGGGAGTTAATAGAAAACAAAGAAAAAAGCAAGCAAATAGTTAAAAGGAGAGAAGTGTTTGAAAGCAGTTTAAAAAGGAAATTGAAAATTGTATGTGTCAGGAAAAAAATGAAGATGAGAGAGAACCCAGAATCTATGATGTTTGAGGAAAAAACTTGATTAACTAAAAGTAAAAATTTTTTCAGCATGAAAAAATAGCTTAAGTACAAAGTCTAGCAGAATGATGTCACACAAGATTGATTTTTTGGTTTGATAAAACAAGGGATAACAGCTAAGTAGCAATCATGATTTTTAGAAAATAGAAAGAGTTAACCTTACAACAATGAGACAGAGACTCAAGCTTAGCAACTAGAGAGTCCAACAACATTTACAATGTACTTTTAGATCTTAACTACTAGAAAGAGAGAGCTTCATTAGAAGTACAAGCCTAAATTTTGTTATATTTGATGCAGGTAATCTGTGGTGCTTGAACTAGACTGAGCAATAAAAAGTCACAGAGAAATGAAACATTTCTCTGTGACTTTTTATTTGAAAAAAATTGAAATAAATCTTCATATAAAGGAGGATAACTAATAAAAACAAAGAAAAAAAAAAAGATTTTTTTTTACGGAGAAAAAGCTTTTACACTAAACTTAACAGTAATTTTATCGTTAAAGTATACCTAAAACAAACAGCCATTTACGGCGTGTTTTAGGTATACTTTAACGATAAAATACCATTTACGGGCGTGTTTCACGAGCGGAGCGCGATCGCATTTGATTCATCACAAGCCCTGGTAAAGATAAACGATTAAAAGTTATTTATTCTAAACATAATTTATATCTTTAGTTATAGTTTATTATTTGTTTTAGTGAAGTTTAAATTTTATTTTTTAGAAAAATATCTTAACTAAAACTAAAATCAAATTTTAGTTTTTGTTTAGTTGTTTTTTTATTTATTTTTGGTTACTTTTTTATTACAAAGACTTATTTGCTTCTATTAGGATAGATTTCTATTTCAATTTTGTTTACTGTTAAGTTAAGAAAATTTTTTCAGCAATTGTTTAAAATGTATATAAACTTTCGAAAGATTTTAACAGCCATGGTCAAGTTTTCTAAATCAAATAGTATTTGCGTGGTCATATTATATGACTATAGGAAGATATGTGTGTAATCGCATGCCTTCCTGGCTAAGCCTGTATATATATCAGGGATACAGAGTCCCAAAATGACTCCAGCTTTATAACTTTATTTTTTTATGGTCTCTGGTGTCCAGAAACTCAAAACCTAAGCTCTAAAAGTTGATTGAATAATGATCTGCTATAAGAAAAAAATATATGATAATTTATGACTTGGAACTTATTGTTTTTAAGCCCGGAGTCCAAGAGTCCTTGCCGTCATTATACCTAAGGACTCCGGGTTCAAAAATTGATTGTTCTTCTGACCTATAAGTCTTAATTTTTTCCCCATTAGTAGTACATAAGCTTTTTATATTTTTAAAGCTCCTGGATACCAAAAACTGGAAAGAAGTAATCTTTTTGTGACTTTCAAATCTGGAGTCTTTTTTGGGACTTTGGGTTTATTTTTATCAGCGTTTCAAAGAGGCTCAGCACCAATACTTACATTATCCCATCAGATAAATATCTCGCCATTTATGCATTACCCCACAAATTATTCCTGCTCCATGTATTATTAACAATCTATTTTTAGATTTTGTCTACTAGAGAGAGAGCTTCATTAAAATCAGGCCTTGTTTTAAATAAAAAACAACTTAGCGCATTAGCTCTTCGTGATTTTGACATCATAAATTATCTTTATTTTTTTTATTTGTTTAAAGACATTAACTTTTTTTAAATTGCTGCAATAAAATAAATTACCGCAAAACAAGTTTAATTTACTAATTATAAAAAAACAAATCTAGAAGTGTTATTTTGTAAATGTATATATTGTGGAATGTCTATTTTGTTTCTTTCTTTTAATTTTAAATAATTAAATTTAATATAAATTTTTTTATTATCATTTAACATAAATTAATTTTTCTTTTCTTAAAATATATAAATAGAAATATAAATGAATTAAAATATATTAATTTTTTTTTTTTAATCATTATTTCCTAAAATTATGTCTTTGCTTATAATGATTTTTTACTTTTAAAAAGTTATTAACAAACAAAAAATATTACTTGTTGAAAAGAAAAAAACTCAAGTTAATTACTTTACCAGTGCTTTTTTTGTGACAAAGATTCAAGTTTCAAAGTACCATTTATTAAAAAATATATACCATTGCGCTTTCACTTGTCTTAAGACAAAAAAGTTAAACATGCGCTTTATGAATATTTTTGATGCAGTGTAATAAGTTATAACAGGTTTACAAGGAATTCAATTTTTTGTAAAAAATAGAAAAGAAGGAATAAAAACTAAAGAAAGAATAGAGCTTTTTTTTTTAATTTAAATAACTTTTTAAATCAAAATTCTTTCTAAATTATAAGTTTCTGTTTTCACTTTTTTGATAACGCACAATCTGTTAATTATATAAAGCTGATGTAACTATTATAAAAAATTATTTTTCTAAACTATTATTTTTTGCAAAATAAAACTTATAAATATAAACGAAGACATTGCAAGAACTATATTGCTTCAAGCATAAATTCAAGCAATAAAATTAATAACAGAGTTATAGTCATAAAAGAAGTTTTTTTTTAATTATAAAAAAATAAACTCTTTGTAAGATGTCGTTTAAAGTTTGTAATAATTAATGTTTTTTCATTTCTTATATAAAATCAATCATTATAACAAAACAAACAAACAAAAACTATCAAAAGTGGCGCTAATATATATAAAAAATAGTATACCTTAAAATAAGTTTAAGGTATACTAATTTTTAGCTGATAATTTTTTTTTTTTAAATTCAGTAATTATTTTTGTTATTGTTTGTTATGAAAAATTTTCTAAATAAATATCCTTGTGCTCGCAAGATGATAAATAAAAGTTTTTTTAATATATTTTTTTAGGATTTCTTTTTTGAAGCGTCGTATAATATTTTCTTTTTTTTTTTTTTTTTTGCTGAACATTTTGGATGGAAAAGTTAGAATAATAAAAATAAAATTTTCTTTATTTTTTCTTAAGTTATTACATTTGTAAATAGCACAAATATAAAATGTAATTGTCATGCAAACTTTTTTTTTTTTTTTATCTAATCGTCATTCAAACTTCATAAGCGGTTAGTATAACGTTAATTACTTCTTTCATCTTACTACTTAAACTATTTCTTTACACTTGTTTAAACATTAAAAAACTTTAAAAAAAGAATTATGTGAAATGGCTTACGTTAAACAGCTTAGTGTGTACGTAAATGTTGTGCCAGTTTATGCTTTAAAACAAAGTATGTCAAAGTATAAGCCTAAATTTGACAATAGCATTCTATACAAGAACAAACAAAAGATTTAAAAAAGTAGAGAATAGAATCAGGTGTAAGAAAATTATGAATAAAATGAAAAGAGGCAACTTTAGCAAGTATTAACTTTGCAATTGATTGTACATATAGTTTCCATGAGAGTTAAGCGGTGAATTATAATTCAAAAAGAGATTAAGTAGAGTACTTAGTAAGATTGTTACTGTCTAGCAATATAGGAATTTCAACAATATTGAGCAACTATTAGCAGTTCACCCAGCCACTGCCCCAGAAGACTTATTCAAGATCAGCTGCCTGTTCAAAGCAATCAAAAAAATTGATTTTTTGTCAAGACTAGCCCCAGAAGAGATACTTATTCAAGAGCCAATCATATTTCAACAATAGCACTCTGGTGTCATCAGAAAATAGAGCCAATATAGAGGTAATATTATCAGGAAGATCATTAATATAGATAAGGAAAAAAAACTGGATAAAAGAAAAACCTTGATTAACCTCAGAAGTTATGCCAACTAAAAGAGAGTGCTAAAATAAGCTAAAATAAGTAGAATAAAATATTCTAAAAGAACATAAAAAAAGTTGAATGTAAAATATATTAACTCAACTGTAATCAAAGTCTACATACTAACAAAAATATTTTTTATAAAATTTCAAAATAATGTGTCTTGTCCAAAGTTTATTTCATTTATTATCTCAAAACAAGAAAGAAAATATGTAATAAAAATAGACAAAACATCTATTTTAAAAATAGAATAATTTACAACAGAATTTTAAACTGGAAATTGCAGGTATCAAAACTAACTGCATAAAAAAGCTTTTAAAATTGTAGTAAGAAGAATGTATTATAAAACAAAATAAAAATAAGTCATATAATTAATTTATTAAAACATTATTATAATATAGTATATTTACTTTTCTTGGATTTTAAATAAAAATTATATATATTTATTATATAGATTCATATTAGACTATTAAATATTCTAAATAATACTTTTAACCAATGTTAATGATCAGATCACAAAAATTTATTTCCTCTACAAATTAAGATTTTAAATTAAGATTTTTTTTACAAATTAAGATTTTTTTCATTATTCAAGATTTTTTAGATAAGTTCTGATTTAACTATTTAACTCCAAAGCTTTGGCCTTCAAAATAATTCTAAACAATTAGTTTCTATGTTTTTTATTTACTCAAAAAACAAAACAAAAATAAAGTAAGAAATAAAAGTAACTATTACTTAAACACCCAACTGCAAACCTAAAGCATTTGTAACATAAACCTGTACTACACACTTATAAACTAGCCTGTTTTACAATTTTAAAAAATATTAATTACAAGAAAGAAAAAAAATACATACATATCCATACTAATATTTGTAGGTAAGGCTGCCAATGATACAAAATTCAAATTTTTACATAAAATTGCAAAACCTTTATTTTTATGATTACATCTACATCCCAAAGGCACATTAGGGCACTTATCGATATCTGTTACTACACCATATATAATTGTTAACAAGAAAAATATTGAAAACATCTTTTCCAATTTGAACCATCTGCACACTTGTAAAAATTAACACAACATATATATATATATATACAAAATAATATATATATATATATATATATATATATATATATATATATATATATATACATATATATATATATATATATATATATATATATATATATATATATATATATATATATATATATATATATATATATATATATATATAAAACACTGCATAAAATAAAAAAATTGGACGACTGATTTTTATACTACTTTATGAGTGCTTAGTTTTTTAAGAACATTGAGCACTCTATTTTGTAGAGTGCATTTAAAATTATGAACTTCATTAGACATAACATAAAGAACTTCTAGATATTTTTAGCATAGTATCAAATTTTATTAAATGTAATTTGTAAAATAGTTTTTAGACAACCTTTTTCATACATAGAATATTCTAAATTACCTCTAACAAAATATATTATTTTTAGAAGTTTAATAAAAAAAATTAGAAACTACTGTCCAAACCTGACATTTATTCACTTTTAAATAAACTTCTATTTAAAATTTAGAATTTGGTTAAGATGAATTTCTAAGACTAAGACATATGTTATGGGTATATACCATCACATTTTGAAAATGTGATGATTAAATACATCACATTTCGAAAATGTGATGATTAAACTAAATAATATAAGAAAATGATTTTCTAAAATAAGTAAAAGCCTTCGGTATTTATTTAATTTTTTGGGTCATTGAAGTTGATTAGCTCTGAAGAACACTTTTAATTTTGATTTCCAAAAGATAGCTTCAGATTTTTTTTTTTTCTTCTCACTTTAATATATTTTAAATTACTACTAATGTAATTTCTAAATATTTTAGAACGATCATTACAAGCTATTTTAGTAAAACAGCTTGGAAAAATTTTTCATGAGCATATTATATTCTTAAATAAACTAAAATGATATACAAAAACTGAAAATATTGTTTCAAAAAAAAAAAAAAAAAAAAAAAAAAAATATTATACAATAATAAATATTATATATATGAATCATATCTTTTTATTGTTGATTAGTATGTAATTTTTCTTTTGAAACAATTTTTCAAATTTTTTCATATTATAAAAAAAGTTTTTTGGGTAGAATAATAGGATTCTACCCAAAAAAAGCCTTTTAATTTTTTTAGGCTATCAATAGATTTTTATTTTATTGTTCATTTAAATTACCTTTATTAATTTTTATTTATAAATGTGTATTATGTGTGTATATAAAGCTTATATAACATAAGCTTAAACCATTTAAAGTTTATATAACCAAATCAAAATACTATAAAACAAATTTTAGAGTAATGGGGGATTATTTATCCTACTAAATGACAGACGGTTTACCGGAATAACAAAATTTTGTTAAAACTCGTTTAATATTTTATCATTCTCATCACGTTTACGGAGTTAAACTCGTTATATTATATTATATATAGGCTTGCCATACGTTTTGACCGGGATTGTCCCGATTTTTGTTGTCCCAATAAAATTCATGATTTTGAATTTTGAAAAAAAAAGCGGACAATGAAAATCATATTATTTTGATACTAATAAAAATACTAACGATTACTTTCTAGGTCTGCGTTTTATCAGGAATTCAAAATCTTAGTCTTAGAGGCTACATTTGCCATTCCCACAGCAATGTATGATTCGAGCTTCAAAATATCTGACTGTAGTTCTAAATTGATCTCAAAGTTTTTTGAACCAAAATTTGGTACTGCAAGAACCAAATTTTGGTTCTGTCAAGAATTATTTTAAATGTTCTGGTACCTTAATCTGTTAAAAGAGTGACATGATGACTCACAGAAGACACATTTTGTAAGTGTTTCTAATGACACATCAAATAGAAGAGAAGTAAAACTATCACCAGTTGTTGTTAGAACTTTTTTACCACTGAAAGGTGTAAAGTAAAACTTCTGTATTTTAAATCTACTGATGGTGAAACGTCTAAAATATTGACCTGTAAGTTAATTTCAAAATTGCAGCGTTATGAAGTTAATAAAAAACAGCTGCTTTTTGTTCCGATAATTGCAACACAAATTTTGATGAAGTACATAGAAAAGGTAAAAATAATGTTTACAACAGGCTCAAACAAGAATTTGGTGTTAATATTGTTGGTATTGGTTGTGGCACACATATTGTGCACAATAAACTTCAACCTGCTGTAGATGGTCTTCCAATTGAACTTGAAGCTCTTGTTGTAAAAATTCAATTATTCAAGCATTTTCAATAAAAAGACATTAGTGTACCTAATCTAGTAAAAGTTGTTAAATACCTTTAAAATTTGCCAGAAACATCTGCACCAGTAGAACGTATTATTTTAAACATGAAAAACATTTGTTCAGATGGCCGAGGTCTTTTGAAGGAGCCCACGGTACGTGCATTGGTGTACTGCAAGTTGAACTTTGGCATTATATATTTATTTATATATATTCGTCATTATTAATAAATTTGTACAACATTTTACCGTGAAATGTATGACTGGAGCAAATAGAAGACAATAGTCTTATCATCTTTTCGTCGTTGACAAAATATAACAACTAATAAACCAAATACAAATATAATAAAATATTTATAATATATATGATTTTTTTTTTTTTTTTTTTTAATTACAATAAACATCATTAAATAACCAAGCAAGTAATATAATAGAATTTCAAGAAAAAGTGAAGATTTAAATTGAAAAAGGAAGAATTTGAAAATTTAGAAAAAATTTTAAAAATAAGAGATTGTTTCATTAATGTTGAGGTCTAGTAGCTGTTGCTATACAACGCGTTTAATATGTTGGGATGAGTTTAGATGAATTAGATGCTCACTTTTTTATGAGAAAATTTTTAAATTTATAACTTGCTACTGAAAAGTATAACTCGTATAAAAACAGTGAATAGTTTTTTTCTCATATTTCTTTTGTAAGATTTAACAAATAAAATAAAAATATTTTGGTGTTGTTACTTTGCTTTAGATTCCTTCAGCAGCTGAGTAATCGAGCTCTTCCTTTTTTATATGAAGATTTTCATGAAACCTAGTTACAGGATACCATGTTTTTTGAAGCACAAAAAACACTATTTTTCTTCCCCTTCTATCTCTCCATTTATTTAATTCAGCATTTTGCAAAACATCACTCTTTCTAAATACCCCTACCCTCTGCCGCCGCAACCCCTGACTGTCCCGGCTTACAACTTCAAAATTATGATAAGCCTTATTATATCATATTACACATTACACCAAGTTTGTATTTAAATTAATGCGCGTCTTAAACGTATCTTATTATACAAACCTTACGCAACAAACTTTTTTCATTTATAAGTAAAAGTTATAAGATAACTAAGGGGTCGTCCATAATTTATTTCACACAATATGTGACCGTTTTTGACCCCACTTCTTCTTTCCTCGTCACAGCATCGTAACACTTAAAAATAAAAAGTTCCTTTAAAAAAAGTTCTGGCATATTTGCTTTTTATTCATTTTGGTGTCACTCCTCTGTGTTACGTCGTGGTGTTACACGGTACGGCCCGCGCCCTCTAGTGACGCCACTTGTAACAAGTCCCGTATGCGTTGTCACAAACCCACTGAAAAACACCACTCCTTCCAGAGCGTGACATGATTTATGAACAACTCCTAATCAGATTAATGCAAAGAAAGAAGGAAATTTTTAACTAGCGCATTTAGTAACTAAATTTCGAGAATTTTGTAAATTAAAAACTCCCGAATAACTAATATTTTTGATTTTGAATATAGTTAGTGTATTCTTAAGTAAATTGCCATAGTATATTAAAACTTGAAATTATACGTATGTATATACGTAAACTTTTTATACGTATTTTATTATGTTTCTTAAAAACATTTATTATTATATTATTGTAATTAAAATAAAGATACTATTAATTAAATTTTTCATATTTATGTTTCTGCTTATAATTTTTATACCGCAGTTCAATTTCAGTTTTCAAGTTTAATTTTCAAGTGATTTTATAAAAAAAATTTAATAATCCAGTATTACTATCAAAAATTATTAATCTAGTATTACCGTATTACTATCGTTATCAAACTCAGGCTCATATCTCAGCTAGTACACATGCATTCGGCTAACGTATGTAAAACGTCATTGCCAACGTCGGCTTTTTTTTAAATACAAATCCAAGGTTGATTCTAAGTCATGTGTTTTGCAATAATATCAATAAAAAGATTAACACCGAGTGCAATGTTATAAAACTTAAATAAAATCTTCCGCTAATACTGAAATATTAAACCACAAACAAAACAAAAATGATGTTTTAATTGTCGCTTTTTGCCATAACCTAATTTCTAATTTTGTTCTAGTCTATAGATGTGTGTGTGTGTATATATATATATATATAAATTTTAATATAAATCACAGTATTTTTTATTCTTGACATGTTTCGTAGTCTTACTACATTTTCAAAAGATTTAATTTACAATTAAAACTGGTGAATAAATTTAAAAACTGAAGACAATACAGAGAAGAAATTAACGGACAAATAAACTTGTTACAAACCAATTAAAAATTATATTACAAATTATAACAAAATGAACTTCCTAATATTAAAATATTATTAATAATAATAATAATAATAGCAATAATAGCAATAATAATAATAATAATAATAATAATAGTAATAATATAGTTAGATAGATAAATTTATAATATAATGATATATATATATATATATATATATATATATATATATATATATATATATATATATATATATATATATATATATGTATATATATATATATATATATATATATATATATATATATATATATATATATATATATATATATATATATATATATATATATATATATATATATTAGGGTGGGTCATAAAAATTTTTTTTCTTGTTAGAGGCTCTAAACATTGCTAGAAAGTTGTTTTTTTATGTACTAATTTAGGAAAGTATTTACTTTTATGGATTGAACAATGTCTTCCACCCGCAACTATAATTACAAAAATTAGCAGGCCCTAAATTTATTCAAAAAAAAAAAGCTTTTCAAAATT